GCATCAAGCTGATTCCCAGCTGGTGAGCAGTCCTTGGGTTAGGGAGCCACTGGGCCTTTGTAGTGGGCAGCTGAGCCTGCGGCCAGGGAAGGGCTGGCATAGGTAGAAGCCAGGTCCGCTACGGGGCACAGGCCCTGGGGCACCCGTATTCCAGGGGAAGGAGCTGCCAGACTTCACTCGACTTTCACCTTGCTGGCACTTTGGTTTCCTGGTGAGCAGGCTTGCTGAAGCCATGCGCCAACAGTCATGTGTCTTTTCTCTGCAGGGCCATCACCGTGGAGTCCCACTGGCTGCCACTCTGTTGGGACCTCCAGGTTTGTGTAGTCTCCTCCTCAACCACAGAAGCCCACCGCCCGACCTGGCGCAGGTCTCCTCCAGTTTGGGCTTTTGAGGATTGGGGGAATCCGGGTCGCGGGCCTCCAGCACAGCACATGGCACTGTGTTGCCCGTATTGTATTTATCTACCATCACAATGTCCCCAGCTGTGACCTGCCACAGGGTGCTGCAGCAGGAAGGGGGTCCTCGGGGTTTGCAGCCAGCAGGTAACCACATCTTGCCAGGGGAGGGTGCCCCCATTGGGGCTTATTTCCCCCTGCCACTTGTCCCCAGGGAGGCCTGAACTATAGAAGCTACATGTGTGGAGGTGTGGTTTATACTGGGGGGCGGGGACCTCACTGTCCCTGGAATAAAGTATTCATCACTGTGTCCAACTGGCCCTTCTGTGGGCTGCAAGTCAGTTCCTAGGGGGGGGACTTAGGGCCAGATCTTGCCGTCCCCCAGGAGGAGAGGGGCATTGGCGGAGAGTTGGAGTTGGAAGACTCCATCCCAGCCCCTCCCCTCAACAGTGTTTCCAGCCAGGGGAGTGGAGGTCAGGGGTCGCCACATTAACCTGTTGGTGGGTTCATGCAGGCAGGTCTGGGGTTCTGCAGGGTTGGAAAGGTCAGCTAAGAATAGGGGGTGAGGGGTTACCTTCAGGTTGAGGGGTGAGTGATAACACAGCCCTGTGCCCAGCCCCCTCACTTTCCACAAACCTGCCTGTCTCCACTCCAGTCTGTGGAAATGTGATCTGTGTCCTCACCCTCCTGCCTCCGCGGGAACATGCAGGACGGCCCCTTTTGGCAGCAGGAGAGCTCAGTCCTTGTGCTGTACCCTGCTTGTTCCTGTCTGAAGGGGGTGCGCAGGGACCCTGATCTCTGCTGTGAACAAGAAGTTAGACTTGTGTCCCCCTCGCCTGACAAAACCCATATTCTAAAGAGATGCTAGATTCACCCACAAACATACCAGCTTATTTTTTAAGGACAAAGACAAAATAGATGGGGTGCATTCTGGGTGACCCTGGAATTTATGAGTTCAGCTCTTGGGGGTTCATTCTGAGCAGGCTGCAGCAGCCAGGGGGTGGGGGTGGGGGTGGGGTCTCAGACTGAGCGCCTGCACCTGGCAGCACTCGGGGTGGGGATTTGGGGAAGCTTAAAAACTGGAAACAGTTGTGGACACTGAAGGCCTAGGCCTGGCTTAAGGAAAGGAGCTAACCCCCAGGGCCTGATGGAGTCGAGTTGATGACCCCCTCCTCGTCCACCAGGGGGAGCTGCCCGGGACCTCAAGTCTGGTTCCTGAGGCCTGACATCACAAGCAGAAGCTAAGGGCAGAGCTGGCCTTCAGGAGGTCAGCCTTCTCGTGGGCATTGGGGGCAGTGGTCCGCCTGCGGCAACACGGGACCAGCCTTGCAAAGCCCAGAAGTGAGCCCGGGCTCCGGTGTCCCAGCTGCTTGGATGAGGTGGCTTCCCTCTGGGGAGCAGGTTTCTTCAACAAGAAAGGACGCCGCCACGCATAACATTGAATGAAGAGGCCCGGCAAACAGGGTTTCTTAAGGGTCTAGAGCAGTGGTGCTCAACCCGTTCATACAGTTCCTCGTGCGGGGGTGATCCCCCAACCATATTGTTTGTCGCTACTTCATCGCTGTCATTCTGCTACTGTGATGAATTGAGCGACCCCAAAGGGGTCACAACCCACAGGTTGAGAGCCGCTGGGGTAGAACCGTCTGGCCAGAACAGGATGCCTGCTCTTGAAAGTTGTGCTGCTCTGTATACAGCCAGTTTGACTTGTTTGTCTGAATGCACCATTACCGTGTTGGGGGCAGAAGCTGACACAACAGGTTCGAGTCCCACTGGGCCACTCCCACACAGAGGGCTTGGGGTGTGAAGGTGACTTCTCACAGCGTGTGGACTTTTCCGGAACACTGTCAGCGGAGTGGCTCGTGGGTCTTCATGAGGGCAAGGGCCGCAGGGTCGGAAGAGAGTTACAACCCCAGAAGTGAAGTGACCGTGAACCTGGTTTGTGGTTTTCCAACAGATGACAAGTGCGCATGGCCACCTCCCGTTGTAGGTGCAGATGGTGTCGGGCTGGTTGGTTCAGGTCCAGGGTGGCGGGGCAGAACAGTGCCCCCCAGGGTTTTGGTGGGGAGCACGAGGCCAGTGTCTTCAGAGCTATCCTTGGATGGACGTGACCCCCGGGGGTGGTCGGCAGCTGAGTGCATTAACTACACAACTCGGGGCCGGCCTGGGAGCAGGACACCCTTTGGGAGTGTAATTCGGGTTCAGGGCCTGTGGGGGTGGAGAAGGCATCAGAATACAGTGAACCCTCGTTTATCGCGGTTAATCGGTTCTAGACCCTACCGTGATAAATGAAATTCCGCGAAGTAGGATTCCTTATTTGTAAATCAAATATTTTCGTAGTTAGAGCATAGAGGACATAAAAAAACACCCTTTAGTCACCATTACACTCGTATTACCCAATTTATTAAGCGAAAAAGGGAAAATACAGTAAAACATTTTGGACGTTACAATTATTATTTATGGCATCTAGTTTACAGTATTACATTTCACATACAGTATTATTATACATAGTTCTTACAAATACTGTAATCAATGGCGTGCAACCTCCACGATTTTCTTGCCATCTTTGATCATATCCAAAAGTTTTACCTTTTCCTGGATGGTGAGCATCTTCCTCTGGCGCTTATTTTTATTGTCAGAAGGCTTAGAAGAAGTAGCTCGTTTAGGAGCCATCATAGGGCTTATATACAATTTCTTAAAAATCGCAAACAATTACAGTACACTGTACAAAAGCAAAAATGCATCTGATACGTAGCTCCGATACGTAGCGATGCAGACAGAAGCGTGTACAGTATGAGCCAATCAGTGGCAGTAGTGACAGCATGCATGCGCTGTTACGCAAAAACCGCGATAGAGTGAAGCCGCGGAAGTCGAAGCGTGAAGTGGCGAGGGTTCACTGTACTTGGAATGTCCTGAGGATAAATTGATAACAGGGAGCAAGGAAGGGGTACCCAGACTGGGCTATTTTAAATAGGCAAGATCCACCCAGGACAGTGACTTTCAGCAAACCCCAAATGGAAGCCGGGTGCCTCTGGACACCGAAGGTGAGAGGTTCAAATCCCTTGTAAGAGCTGGGAAGCCTACTTCGGAAGTGCGGCTGTCTGAACACCCTGGGTGCAGTTCCACTCTGGGACACGCGGGGGCGCGTGAGTCTGAGGCATCTGGTTTTCACGCGGGTTGTGGGGCTGGGGGCGCACAGCCTCTAGAGAAGCACGGACAGAACTTGTCCCCGAGGGTCTCAAAGGTCAGTGTGGGGCTTTCACGTCATTCGGCTTCTTTGAAGGACTCTCCCACTAGGGAGCCCTGCGCTGTAGTGATTTTATGTCGGGCTGCTAACAGTAGGACCAGCCTTTCAAAACCACCATCACTCCCTGGGAGAAAGACAAGGGCTTCCCACTTCTGTAAAGAGTTGCCGCCCTGGGAGCCATAGGAACAGGCCTACCCTGTGCTATAGGGCCTCTGAGTCAAAATGGACTCCGTGGCAGTGCATTTTCTGGGTTTCTCCCGCTAACAAAATAGTTCCCCCTTAGAGCCCAGATCTGTGCATCAGAGTGGAGCTTGCCCTCCCCCTCAGCAGCCGGAAGTCTGGTAGCCTGGTGGGCTAAGTGCAGGGCTGCCCAGCACAAGGCAGGCAGGTCAAGCCCACCAGCTGCTCCTTGGGAGAAAGAGGAACACAGGCCCGACCGCAGAGGAGAGTTCAAGTGCGCCCCGTGGGATCTGGACTACGGCCGCCCCAGTCGAGTCAGAGGAGGCCTTTGGAGACAGACCCCCTCCAGCCAAGCACAGGGACCTTTCCACGCCCAGAGAGGTAGGCCCCTGGACCTCCTGCCCCGGTTTGCCTCCCAGCCAGGGAAGGGCAGGTTTCAGTGATGGGCTGTTCTGGGAGGTGAGTACTAGGCCTCTGGCGGTGCCTCTCCGGAGACTCCAAGGTCCAGCTGCCCAGGGAGCAGCTGAGAGCACTAGCCGTCTGTGCCACCCAAGAGCCCCATCCTGAGGCTCAGAAACCAGAACCTGGGTGGTGGCAGTGGCCTGGAACTTGGCCTCCCCCTGGCTGGTGGACCTGGAGGCTTGTTGACATGCCCCTGCTGCTGGCTGGCCTCTGCCTGGTCCCCAGGTGCCCCCATCTCTGTCCCAGCACACTGTGCCATGAGGATGCTCCAGACTGACTCCCCTTCCTGAGGAGCGCTTGACTGGTAGAGAATCCTCGGTGCTTAATCCCTGCACCACCAGGGCTCCAAGTACCCCAGACTCACTCGTTATCCCAACCAAGAGTATTCACGTTTCCTAGAGCGTCCCAAAACAGCATGACTTCCTTCAAGACATCTTTAATCCTTCAACCCAAAGTACCCCTGACTGGAGGAGAGAGGTACACGGCCCAAAGGCGGTGGCTCCAGGTCGCTGGTGGGGCAGGGAGCCGTGGTCATGTGGGGACGTGACTGACCTGCTGTGAATTCCCTTCTAGCCTAGTCTTTGTAGCCCGACCACCTGACTGAGTGGGACTTTGCAAATGAGAGGGGCTTGTGGTCCACCAAGGGGATTGGTCAGCTTGCTGAGCATCTGAATAAGGTACATGGCACCCTCAGGACAGGGCTGGTCAGTTTGACCCTCCCAGACGGGGAGCGGAAGGTCTCACTGCCAGCAGGAAGGAAGAGCCAGGAGTGGAGCATGACCTGAGGTCCCATGCGGAGCCTTCTAGACCTGTGACACTGCATGGATACCCCGAGAGGCGGTGAGGAAGAGCACCAGAGAGCTAAGAGACATAGTGGCAAACTTCCTGTCCCTCAGAGAACTCGCTGAGCACCTTTGGACTGAGGTTTACTGATGCAGTGGGCACACACGTAGCACTGAAAGAGCCAACACTTGTCGGTCTGAGAGGCCGAGGACCAGAGAGAGGCCTGCCTGAGGACAGCTGAGAAGAGGCTGTCCTGGCCAAGGAACTGTATCCTGAGCATTTCCCATCCTGAACTGTAACCTGTTAGCATCCCTGATAAACCCTGGCTGAGCATGGTGGGCATGCCTGGGAGTTCTGTGTGCCACTGCCCTCAAGTCCAAGTCCAGCACTGAAGCAGAGAGGGGCCCTGGGAACAGGGCTGATGTCAAGCGGGTTGGAGGGGGTAGCCGAGGCTGAACTTCACTCACACCCCCCCCCACCTCCCCGGAAGAATTGGCAAAATAAATTACTGACTGAAAGCCAGCTCAGTTCCTCAGCACCGATCACACTTCAAGCACCCAAAGCCCCACGTAGCTGAAGGTCACCAGGTTGTCTGGCCCTGCTGCAGAGTTCAAGGGCGTTAGACTGGGGAGCCAGTGCCCCTCCA